TTCCTCTCTACCCTCCCATTCAATCTATTTACTTGCTAATGTCCTTTCTTCCGTTTTTTTTTTTTTTCTTTTTCTATCCGCGAATTGTATCCCACCTCAGGCAGTAGTCGAATTCCCACCCGCACAAGACAGATCAGTCCACGTTTAGTCGCTTTATTTCTTACATCTATTTAGTTCTTACCATTTTCAAGAAGAAAGACGTCAGGACTCCCAGTAAAGGGTTTGAGAATATTGGACACTACTTGTTGACTTGGATCGAACCCCAAGACGTACGTGTTCCTTTTATTTTGGTCATCAGAGTGAAGTGTAGCGACACATCAAACGGACCGCTCACCTATTGTACATCCACCCTCACCACCCACATCCTTCGTACCCCAAACATCTCCTCAAGCTTTCTGCTTCTCTTTCGCCTCCTCCTCCTTGAACCTCGCAACCAACTTCTCCATCAAAAACGGACTAAGTCCCAAGCTGTAACCATCCCAACCATTAGCAACACGTTAACCAAACAATCCCACCTCACCTCACCAAAATAAAATACTCACATGCCCTGATTCGTAACAACCCGATAAGTCCCACTCCCCTGAAACGTCCCCTCGATGATCTTGCCCTGCCCATCCACCTCCACGCTCCCAAAGATATCCTCTGGCCACGCAATCCTTCCAAAATCCACTGGCGTCCTCTCATCACTCAAGTGCACCCACCCTCCCCTACCCGCGCCTCCCGCGCCTCCCTCCGCTGACGCACCGCCGGCACCCGTGTCACTGCCCTTTTTGCCTACCTTTCTTGAGCCAGGACGAGGAAGGAAGGAGAAACCGGCTGGGGAAGCGAAGGCTTGGGCTTGTGATTGAAGACCGGGATCGGAGTAGGCATGTTCGGCGAGGACGGAGTTCAGGATGGAAAGAAAGTGGGGGTTGGTGGTGAAGGACTGGGGAGTTGGGGGTAGGGCGGTGGTGGTGCCGATGGAGAGGGTGGGTGTGGGAGGGGTGGTGGGGAGAAGGGAGAGGATGTAGCTTTTTGGGTCGTTTGGGTGGGGTAAGACTTTCTGTGATGGTGGGTGTTAGTATGGTCTTTGATGAGTTGTTGTGTGGTGAGGCTTGATTGGGGATGGAAAGGGAGATGGTGATGTGGTGAGGATGGGGGTTGTGGTGTAAGTGAGGGTGGGGTTGCTGGTGGAGGTGGATGGATAACTTGCGATGTTTGGGTTGGACGGTAAAGTCGTGAATGATCTGAATGCGCTTCGTAGCTTAGGAGCTACACAAACTCTTGTAGCAAGCATCATGACTGGCCGTATCAAATCTGATATCGAGAATGAGAAGGTTGGTGATGGCGTCAAAAGTTAGTTGATGTCACTCTGGTGCTGTTAATGCGTCTACTTGTAGCGTAGCTACCAGCTGTAGGTACCTCTCTAGCGCTGCCGGCGGCAACCAGGGTGGCCCTTGATGCCCCTGTTCCTGACTTTGTGGAGCCCGCATTGGCTGAAATCTGGGGTGAGCCCCACCAGAACGCGTCTGGTCCCCTGCTTCGTTTCTCAATTTACGCGTCTTCCAGACAGTGACAATGACGGAAATCACCACCACGAACACACTGGCAGACGGCCAATCGTAACCGACTACAATAAAATACAAGTCTAGCTGAGCTACCCAGACCACAGACACAATGATCGTTCAAAGTCCCCGCCAAAAGCGGACGAAAAACGGCCAGACAAACGCCCAAGACAGACCATCTCGACCGCAGCCACAAGCAGCCGCCGCCGGCTTCTTTGCGCTCAAGAACCCAGCGGGCCCATCCAACCCGATACCCTCGTCCTCCCCCGCCTTCGCTACTCCAGTACATCCACTGAAGCCGTTCCAACCTCCAGTCCTCACAAAAGCCGCAATCCTGCCCATCATCCTTCCTCCAGCGACACTACGACCGCTCGCCTTCCGAACCTTTACCAAGAAACACAGCCTAACACTTACATCAACTGCCCTACAAGAGCTCGCAACCTTTATCGGTAGACACTGTGGCTCAGGATGGAGGGAAGAAGGCCTGGCCGAAAAGGTGCTAGAAGAGGTAGCAAGGAGTTGGAAGAACCGCAATGGCGGCGTCATCGTGGAAGGCAACAGCCCCGAGCTGAAGGACATTCTCAAGACCCTCGAGGGCAACATGAGCGGAGGAAAGATCCTGACCGGGCCACGAAGCTTAAGCAGACAAAACAGTCTCTTGCTAGAGCCCGACCAAGAAGAACAACATGCGCATAGTCGACTCGGACTTCGGCCCGTGCCGTCATTAACCCGGGAGGATAGCAACACCAGCTTTGGCATGTCTGGGTTGGAGTTCACAGAAGAGCCGGAAGACGATTCGGTGAGAGATGTTAGGAGGTGGCTGAAGGTTATACATGCTTTCGATCAACCACGGTTGATGTATAATGTTGGAAAGAAGCATTTTGAGAGGTATGGTCCCTTATTACCCTCTTGACATAGGTGACACAGCTAACCTTTGCAGGGATCCTTCCAAACCCTCCCTGCTACCAGCCGCCTCCCACAAAACCGATGCCTTCCGCAACCGATACAACGTCATCCACCAGCGCATTCTTCGCAACGAAGCCTTCCAATCCTCCTCCGTCCAAGGCTCGAGCTTGCGCCAACGAACCAACGCCAGCGGCCTCTCCTCCCACAAGATTACCCCCATCGCCAACCTGCTCGGCCGCCATGGCAGCAACCACATGCTGCTGGGCATGCTTGTTGTCCTTCCCACTGGCTCTCTTGCCATCAGCGACCTGACGGGCACCATTACTCTCGACCTCTCCCACGCTGTCGCCATCCCTGAAGATTCTGCCTGGTTCACACCGGGAATGATTGTTCTCATCGACGGCGTCTACGAAGAGGAGGAGGAAACCATGACCATGGGCAACGGTCTCAGTGGTAGCAGCGGCGTGGGCGGTACCATCGGCGGCCGGTTCCAAGGTTTCTTCATCGGCCAGCCACCATGTGAAAAGCGCCGCGTTACGCTCGGGGTTAGTGGGCCCGACGGCACCGGCGCTGATCATACTATTGGCGGCGGATTTGGCTGGATCGACTTCCTAGGCGTAGGCAGTGAGAGGGCAGTCGGGTCCAAAATGCGCAAGTTGGAGCACAGAATTCTGCGGCAACCAGCGCTGTTGGAGGATGGCAGGCCGTCGAGGGGTAGAGCGGTGATTATTGGCGAGTTGAACCTAGATCAGCCGAGGAGTTTGCAGGCACTGAGGAAAATCTTGGGTCTCTATGCTAGTGATCCTGAAGGGTGCACACCTATGACGTTTGTGCTGGCAGGTAACTTCACGCAGCATGCTGTCATGGCGAGGGGCGGGAGTGGGGGCAGTATCGAGTACAAGGAGTTTTTCGATGCGTTGGCATCGACACTGGCGGATTTCCCTAGTCTGCTCACGACGGCCACCTTTGTTTTTGTGCCAGGTGACAACGACGGGTGGATGTCTGCCTTCTCAGGTGGTGCGGCAACTCCTTTGCCGAGGAAACCCGTCCCAGATCTGTTTACTTCCCGCATCAGGAGGGTATTCGCAGCAGCGAATGCTGAAGCCGGCCTAGCCAATCCCGGCAAAGAAACAGAAAAGGATGCAGGCAAGAGGAAAGGCGGCGAAGCTGTCTGGACCACCAACCCAAGTAGGATAACCCTTTTCGGGCCTAGTCACGAAATGGTTCTTTTCCGAGATGACATCTCTGCCCGGCTACGACGAGCTTCTGTCCGTCTTAAGAACACGAGCAAAGCCCCCGTCGAGCCGGAACCCCCAACCAACGGCAACGACGACTCGGCAATGGATAACCAATGTCCACCCTCCTCCCTCCCTGACGCCCCCGATGCAGACGATGAAGACATGGCCGACACAACCATGACCGACGCCATGGATGTCGATTCTGCCCCTGCCCTTAACCAAAAGACTACCATGCTACCTCCATCTTCTATACCCTACGACGTCCTCGCCGCCCGCAAGCTAGTGAAAACCATTCTCGACCAAGGCTACCTCGCTCCTTTCCGGCAAGCTATTCGTCCGGTACATTGGGACTATACTTCTGCCATGTACCTCTACCCGCTGCCGACGGCCATGGTACTGGTGGATACTACCGCTCCGCCGTTTTGCGTGACGTATGAGGGGTGCCACGTGATAAATCCGGGGAGCATATTAGTGCCGGGGAGGAAGGGGGCGGCACGGTGGGTTGAGTATGAGTTACCGGGAGTGGGAGGGACGGGGACGGGTGGGGGGAGAGTTAGGGAGTGTACATTTTGAAGTTGTGCACATTTTGAGTGAAATGTTGGATTGTCTGGAGAAAAATCTGCATTGAGCTTACAACGAGGCTGTGCTGGGAGATCTTGCTCTTCGATCGGTCTTGGGGCTGGGACCATCGGCTGTGTAAAGGTGATCGAGGGAAATGGTAACTCGTGTTGCTGGAAGGGCGCTACGGTGGCAGGGCACAATCGAACTTCGAACACGGTGGGCATCTCTGGCGCCATCAATTTCTTTCCGTCGATCTCATGCCTCGCTCCCTGTTGTACTGCAACTTCACGTCATGGCTGTACTCCCCGTTACAACGCATGAAGTGACAAACAGGCTTCAGCTTGCTTATCTATACCGGAGACTAAATCACCGGAGATTAGATCGGCTTAGCGCAAACCTCCCCAGCCTTCCTGTCAGCAGTATACCTTGTTGCATGCTTCAAGAGCATTGAGTACCACGTCGAACGGTGATTGGTTTATTAATTCAAGATAAGATGGTACCTGCCCCCGCGACATGAACGTGTTTTCATCTGGTCTTCGTGGTGTGATTTACTCTTCTCTCTTTTTCTTCTCCCTTTGGCTTTTCCATGTTGATGAATCTACTGAACTGTGAAGCACGCCATAGGGCGACAGCCTCTAACACGACGCCTGCCGACATCTCACGGCGTCCGATACATGAAGGCCATAATCATGGATTTGCGCGATTCAGATGATGACTGTCAGCAGACACTCGGCCAGATCGCTCGGCAACATGGCCAATCAATTGTCGAGTTGCTTGTGCAAATACAGAAAGCCAGAACGGAGGAATGGAAGCCAACAAAATTTCTCCAGCCGCTGGAGTGCCTCCAACTCATCGGCCGCCCTCAGAGCCACACAGCCCTCAGAAACAACTTGGCTGGAACGATTAAACCGCTTCATAGTGATACAGTCACCGTTCCCAAGCTATTGGAGGATATCAAAGTACAACGGGGGCTTCCACGGATTTTCACCGGGCAAGGAGTTTCGGTCCAGAACGAGGGCAGGTTTATGAACCGCAGTCACCTTAACGTTCTCGACGGTCAGACCAAGTACATTGCTGTATCCTACACGTGGAATCCACCAGATGGACACGATAACACCTCCGGTCGATATTGGATAGCGAAGAGGGCCGGGAATGGCTTTGAACAGTCGCCGATACGCAATAGTCTCCTCGACCGTATCACCAACTACATGCGAGCACTATGTGTGGAACACCTTTGGATCGATCAGCATTGCATTGTCCAGACCACAACATGCACAATGAGTCACTGCGCTCATGACGACTGCAACGAAAAGCGGGAGGCAGTGCACGCTATGGACCTCGTCTTTGCATCCAGCGAATATCCCACGGCCTTCCTTTCACAATCTATCGATACATGGTGGGATCTGCGTTTGTTGCACGGTCTTCTTCGGCATTCATGGCTCATGCATTACAGCTCGTATTGTTATGGCGTTAGTCTACGATCCCATCGGGTTCGACATGCTAAAGATACGCTGAAACTCGTGCACCGCCTCATGTGTGACCCTTGGTGGGCGAGAGCATGGCCATTTCAGGAGAGACATGTGACGAACTCAAGGTTGCAGCTGCTTTGGCGATATCCTCCCCACCTCGAGAAGCGAAAGCAGGCGCTGTTTCCAGAGATGCAAGTTCCAGGAGAGATCAGCATTCAAGCTATTGAATTCCTTACCCAGGCTGACATGTTGTGCCGTGCGATGGTCCGACATATTTCCAGCGAACTACATCCTGAAGAGAAGGAAATGATACGCCAAGTCTTTCAAGCTGTCGTTCACGACGGGCCATGGCTCGGATCGCTTCCTTTAATACCCCCTCTCGTTGACACAGTCATCTCAAAAGACATAGCAAAGCCCTGGGACCGTGTTGCTATTATAGGTAATTGCTGTCGATACACCAAAAGACTAGAGCTTCAGTACCTGCAGCAGACGGATAAAAGCCTTAGTATCTCTATCCTAGCCCTCGTTCTTTTGAATGGAGAGGTGCTCAACAATCGCCGAAAGCGAGACCAACAGAGAGCAGCCGACATGACAGTCTCTCAATATCTAACGTCGCGGCTATGCAGGACCGGATACTACGCAAGCCGATGTGGCTTTCTCGACGTTACGTTTACCATGAAGGGTATTCGAACAGAAGGACACCTGTGGAAGTTAGGCAAGGTTATCGACGGCACCGTATGGTCGGTCGGCGACCCTGTTATCTTTAAACCGGATCCTTCCAAATGGCCAATGGATAACAGTAAAGATGCGAACGAGCATCGCTGCTGGTGGAGAGCAGTACGATGTCGAATCCTGATTGCGAAACTCAAAGCTTCTGGCTATAGCAATCTAGCAGAGAACCTTCAACAGCTTTTGAGACACTCCATAACTGCTTGCTTATTCCGCCCGAACCATTCGAAAGGAGGGCAGAGTACGCCGCCACTCGCGACCCTCGAAGTGATTGATGCAATTGGTCGTGGGAAGAAGGTCAGAGTAGGATGTCTCTGGCACCCTGGACTGCCCTCGAAGCCATCATCTTATAGTGCTCTGTTTGTTTGGGAAGGAGACGAGCTCGAAGATCCGGAAGACCACCAGCAGAACAATACTCTCTTCTCGACAATGGTGTTTACGGCCACTCGAGTGAACGATTTCAGCTCCCCTTTTGATCCCATCGACGAGCATCCAAAATTCTCCTCTGAAGAGGGGAAATTTCATCGACATCTGTCGTTGGAGGTGGAAATAGAAAACCCGGGTGCCAAGAATGTTGTCTTCAGCAAGAGAGCTGGAAATCTACCATCGCTAAAGACCAAGCGATGGATCAGCGGTCTGCATTTCCCAGATATCTGCATGCGCCCATCACGTCAAGTTGTGTTTCCTTGGCCCCATGAGCTGGCGGCCATTGGAGGCCGTCATAGGGTTCATGATTCCCGTCCGAGCCGAACAAAGATATATGGTGAAATAGCTTCGAACCTATACAAATGGGATAACCCTATATATGAACGTACAGGAAGGCGGTAGCGCTCCACACAGCTTGATTTCATTCCAAAGCAGAACCTTTTAAGGCCATTTTACCAATGTCAAACATACACAAACCAATAGATGTTACTTTTGTTATTTAGATTGTTCGATACTTGCTTTTTTACGAATAGGTAGGTACATAGGTGCTCATGAAATGCGTTTAGCATTTGCCCCCTTTTAACCCCCATGGGGTTGAGAAGTAGAGTAAGACGACAAACACATTCTCCATGGACCTCGTACTATTGTGACCGTCGAAGGTAGATACCATGGATAGGAGTTTTCTACTTCAAACTGTAGCAAAGCTATTTCAATGCCATCTACTCTACAAGCTTCAAGCAGACGAAAACGTTTAGGCATCACTATTACGAAAGAGTAGGTAGCTTCTTTGCTGCCGTCACAGAGGTCTTACAGTTTAGTAGCACCTCAATAAGAAGAAGTATTATTTTGCCCCCTCTTTCGCGCCACAGAGTGGTGGAAAGATGTAGCGCGAGGTAGACGTAAGGTCGTAAAACAAGACATCAAAACAGTACAATGGCATAGATAGTTATGCCCGTCGTACGCATCGACTGCACAGGTCCACTTTATCGTGAGGCTGTTCCCACACTCAAACACCTGTGCAGTCTTGGCAAGCGGTGCGTGCGTGCACACACACACACACCGCATTTGACAAATCTAGCCATTTGACATTGCTTTACACGACTTAATTCAATTGTTTAATATTGAAATCTATACAAAACTGGCATAAAAAGTCGATATTTCAATACTCTAAATTATACAATTATTTATTTTAATATTTATATTGTCTTTTTAATTATTATCGATATCGTATACTACCCCAATACCCGCTAGAAAGTATTAATAATAATAATACTAGTAAATAATAAGTATTCTAATAATATTATTAAAACTATCAGTATAAACATACGAAGTATATAGAGATATAAGTGTACTTTAGCAGATATTAGTAAGGTATTTATACTGTTGCAAACCCCCTAGAATATTAAAAAGCTTCCTATATAGGCGCTTAAAGTATAATATATACTATATTACTCTCTATACTTTATTAACTATAATTAATATTATAAAGGAAATTATAAACCTTCTTATATTAAAACCCAATTTATACCTTGACGAAATTTGTACTTTCCTAACCGACGAGTATAACGTATACGTTTCGACTGAGACTGTACAGTAGCACCTTCAATAAAAAAAGTAGAAAAAAAAGCGATTCTATATAAAAGTATTATAATAATCTCCTGTACTAATAGCTAAATAAATATTAAAAATCTCTTTATTTACTGTAAAAATATTTGTATTTTATAACGAGTCTAATATAAATCGAAGGGATAGCGCTCGTTATACTAATTAGGCACCCCGTAGTATTATTGTAATAATATTAAATAAATTTATCTATAGTACGTAATATTACTTTCTCCCAGTTATTATAATAAATAGACTACTTAATGTACTAATATTTAGAAGTATAACGGACTTAGCTGAAGTTTAGGATTAAATAGTAAAATATTTACTCCTTAAAATAAATTTATCTCCTGGCTGCAATAGTATTTTCATAATAAATAATACTAATTAGCACCCCTATACCGAACTTTAGTATGTATACAATTAGAAGGGGGTTCTATTATAGTATTTACTACTATACTCTCCCGAATTTAATCTAATTGAAATATACTTTAATAATTTTAAATAGTAATTTAAGAGGGTATATTGTAATAAAGGTGGTAATAAAATATTAAATAACAATTTTACTACGTTTCTTAAACGATTAGCGTAGAACGTGGGGTATAAAATATAATAGATCTATAGCTATTTTAAGAACGTAAAGCTAATAATAAATCGCATTAATAATGTAAATAGAAATTATAGGGAGTTATATATTAATAAGCTAATTGAATAAAAAAAAATAGGTATTATATCGGGGTGGCGGTAAGGAATATAGAAGGGAGAAATAGATTTATATGTATTAAATTGAGTTATGTGCCAGAAATACTAGAAATACTAAAAATGCTAAAAATATTAGAAGTGCTAAAAGTGCTAAAAGTGTTAGAAATCGTATTTATTTATATAATAATACTAAAATGCTAAAAACCCCTCTCTTTTACTATAAATCAATTCGTATTATTGTTATTACTCGTTAGGACCATTAGTAGTAGTACTACCTACTATAAAAGTAAAAGCTCTAGCAACGCTATATTCGAATACAATATTAAATTGAGGGTCTAAAATATATACTAATTAATTAAATTATAGTAATAGGGGTTAGAGGGTATATATACTATAGCTTAACTACGTCGCTAATACTACGTACTCGGTTTTAAGGAAATCTTTAATACCGTCCCTAAATACTATATAGAAATCGCAAGTAAATCCCAGCCTCATAAACCACTCTACTAATTATTCTCTAAATATAAATATATTAAGAGGCGCCTCTTTATTCTAAAGCTCATTCCTCAAAGCGATTAGAACTCTATACGCTAGCCCTACCTTAGTCGATTTCCTAATATAATAATATTAATAAAAGGATTTAAAGAACTTAGTAATAAACTCTTTAGCCAATCAATTAAGCAGGGCGGAGGGTAGTAATAATAAACGGAAACCGAAAATTAAGGGTATAAATAAATGTAGTATAAATAACTCTCCGGCCTCTATTAGGAATTCTCTAATCTTCTTACCCTCGTCCCCCTCGCCCGCTACTAATAGTAATATAATTAATAGTAATACCTATAGCTAAATAGAGACTATAGTCGCTATAGAAATAGGAGGGGGGTTAGTATATCTAGTGGTAAAAATCTTATAGTCAATCGAATACTTATAGAATATAATAGTAAAATATTGTAAAGGCGTATACAAATTAATAATTATTACTTTACTTAATAGAAGGAAAGCGCCTACTATATTATTATAATTAGAGCCGCTCGTAATTACCGAATTAACTATAAAGCCGCCGGTAATATAAGAAGGAAGTAATTAAATTTAAAGAAATTAAAAGTAGGGAGGAAAATACTAGTAGAATAATAGGTATAATAAGTATAAAGAAGGAGGGTATAGCTAATATAAACCTCTAAAATTATCCCTCTTTAACGTAGTTTATAATAGACTATTTATAGTCTCTATATTAATACTACTATTACTATTATTAATATTATTAATAATATTAATATTACCTAATAAATTATCGCCTCCTCTCTTACATCTACTACTATTACTAATATTAATAGAAATAGCTACTACTTTATTCCCTAATATCTCTCGCAATAAATTACCAGGCGGGTTAACTACTATAACCTTCCCTAATAAGATTGCGTATACCTACTTACTTATATTTGTAATATTAAAGTTATAATAGGTTATACTCCCGTTGATAATATAGTATATCTAATATTCAATAACCTTAATATAATTCTTACAATTATAATTAAGATTATACGCCTATACCTATACTAACTTTTAATATATAGTACCATATAACTTTACTCCTATATACTCCTCTTATTACTAGTCCTCTTCTAAATTCTTCTTAACTTCTACTAATATAGTATTTGTCACGAGCGACGTGGTCACGAGAGGCAAGCTAACACGTTGATACCAGGTCTATTGTAGAATCACAAGATGAAGAAGAAAAGAGGGAAACGTGCAAAGGTGCACGCGGGGTCTGGGGTTTTGACCCAGAGCCTGTGCGCCGGCCTAGAGCCTATGCGCCGGCCCGGCAACGGGTCGGTCACATATCTGGCTACACGGCTGCACCCCATGCCAAGGCCTGTCCGCCAGTGCCGTAACATTACCCCCCCGGTACAAAAAGACTCGTCCCGAGTCGTGCGAAACCGTGAAGAAAGCTATCATATATATAGTGGGTCCCCATCCCATCCCGCTAACCAAAATCATGTAAAAAAGTCGCCGTTACCTTGGCTCGAACACGGTCGCTTTCCAGACAGAGGGGGGGTGTCCTCGGGTTTTTGATTGGTCAATTGGTTCTGGGCCCCCGAGCCTTTCCCAACTGCGCCAAACATCCACCGCGGCATGTTGAACAACTAATTTGCCAACATTGCTCAATCACACCCTCTGGCCTTCGTCCTTGTCCTTGAAAATTATTTCCTTGCGCCAATGTAACGCCTCGTCAGTCTTGCCCCTTTCCTCAGCGGGACATTATCATCATCGTGATCCGGATCAAACTCGTCCGCCTCAGCCGCTTGCAGCCATTGGTCCAGTCGCTTTGGCGGTCCTGGTTGTTCGGATATTCATCATGAAAGGATTTGAGGTGGCGAGGTGGAGTTTTTGAAGTTGCTCGCATCG